CCTACACCAAGCACCAGCTTCAACTAAATCTCCTTCACCCGAAATCCCACCTAAATAGAAACTACCCTTACTTGAAATCTCCAACACAGACCCAACGCCACCAAAACCCTCACCACAAAAGCTTCCTTATGCTCTAGAACTTTCGTCGGTGAAGGATCGAAAAGTAAAAGATGCAACGACAGATGTAGATTACCGGTGTTTCCGAGGGTTGTTATTGGGGTTTCAGGGGTTGGGTGGGGTTCCAGCGCCTTGGAGCGGTGGAAGTTAATTCGCTGGGAAAGCATGCGGGGATGGGGAGGGGAAGATAGTGGCGGGACTGGGGCTGAAATTGGGGGTTTTGATTTATTTTTTTTAAAATTATTTTTGATTTTTTTAATTATTAAAAATAGAATAAACCTATAAAATATGACATGTGGCATAAAACCTAAGAAAATCGGTTACCAAAATTATCCAACCAGTCAGGAATTGTTAGAAGAAGATTGGGGTGAAAGGTGGGATTGTTTTGGAATAATTGAAAGGTGAGATTGTTTTTGGAAGATGGAGTCAAGGTGAGATTATTAGTTTCCAATTTTCCTAAATAATGTGAATTCTCCTCTATATTATAAAGACTTGAAGATCTTCCTTCTTTTGAAACTTGACGATGGTGATTTTTATATCATATAACTAATATATAAAGCTAAACTTTTAGTCAGACCATGAGACAGCGACACTTGGCGTTTCAACTTTTTTCCAAGTGTCACGCCACGTAGGCAACAATTAAATATTAGTATGACACGTAGTATTAAAATATTGGATAATTTTAGATAGATTTTGTAAGATAAAGAAGTTAGTTTAGAGTTTTATTTTCAATAAAATTTGGATAGATTTTTAAGTAAAATTGCTGGTTTAGAATTTTATTTTCAAAATAAAAAAATAAAACTCTATTAAGCAAGGGCTTATTTTAACCAATTAAATTCTATTTTTAGCCCTAAATTATGACATATGTGAAAACAAAATAAATAAAATAAATAATAAAAAAATGGGTGGAATTAGCCCATAAGTATAGTGAAAAGGGTTTATTTTACTGTACTTCGTACAATTAGTAGCTGAAGTACAATCTAATATACATACATACATACATACATACATACATACATACATATATATATATATATATATATATATATATATATATATATATATATATATATATATATATATAGAAATGGGATCATATGAGACCACATCCCTTATGTGAGAACCATATTATATGTGAGGACTCATTATAACCGTTGGATCAATTACATCCAACGACCACAATTAAATATCAATTATAACTGGAGAATCATCAATTTCCAATCAAATGTTCATCCTTTTTCATGCAATTCCACTCAATTCTCTCTCTTCTATACTCTGCATCATCACGAAGAATTCGATTTCATTGTGTTCATCAATCTAGATCAACTCGTTGCAGAAACCCCAATTTCAAGAAAATGAGCTTTCCAATGGAGATTTCAGTCCCTAAAGCCGAATCTACTAAACTTGAAGCCGAAACTAGTTGTGGTTGTTTGTGGGTAGGATTATGTGTGGGTTTGGAGGAGGGTGGTGCCGTGGTGGGCAGTGGATACTGGTCGGAAGAACGAGGTGAGGAGGTTTTTGAAAATTTCGAGTAGGTCTCCTACGGTGGCGATTGATTGATTATGTTCTTGATGTTGTACGCAAAGAAGCTGAGAAATTGTGACTGCTTACATGGTATTCGATGAAATGCCTCACTGAATTTTTCTTTTTTTCAGTTTTCTTTCATTTTAGTGTTTTGTGTTTTGGTTTTTAGGTGTTTGGATCTAATTGTGAATATTTTAGAGCTCTAAATCTGAGTATAATTGCAAGAAATTGATTGAGGCTATACTTTTGTTGCTTAAGCTTGCTGTGTAGATGATCTAAACTTCTGAAGTGTGTATATATTTCAAATTGGGGGTTGCTCAATAGATATAATTTAGAAGGCAATTTCTTCTATTGGTGAGTTAATGGCATTGACATTGAATTTCAAGCTGTTCAAACTCTTAACAAGAAAGCTCAATGTCATATCCTTACACATCTTATTATATAATGAACCCCTTTTTACATGGTTATATCACTTATTTGGCTTACACAGATTCTTAACATATTATATAAAAATTCTAATTGAGTATGATTCTTAGTGTTCCCATAAGCCCATATTATAAATTAATGAGCACATGATATAATAATGTTAATTAGTCTAGAAAGTATAATAAACATCATCTTAACTGCATATATCTAACTCGAGTAATTAATTTTGGGTCATCTTGTTCCTACATCACTCTCTCCTCTTTAAAAAAGGATTACTTCTCGAATTAATGTCCATATGTAAGATTTGGAATTAGAAAAAAACACAAAGTGATGAATCAGGGGTACCTTTGGATTAAAAATAGTCTAACTTGAGTTTTAGCATTCTTTTCTTGATCCATCATGCTCTCAATATGTAGGATTACCCTTCGAAACCAAAATTCTAACAACAGACAAAGAAAGTACATTGTAATTTATTTTTCTTTGTGGTGATCCTGCTCTAGTTTTTATATTCAATTTGCCTGCAGGTTCATGGTTTTGTTGAAGATGGCGAAGGGAGCAGAGTGGCAACAATATCTGGGAGGTGGGACGATAGTATTTATTGTTTCGAAGGAGATGGAAAGAACAAGCGTAAAGATTTAAATTCATCGAATGATGCATCTTTGATTTGGAGAAGGACCAAACCTACTCCTAATCTTACTCGATATAACCTAACACCATTTGTCATTACTCTCAATGGACTTACTCCTGGGCTACAGGTAGATCTGTCTCTTTGTATAGGTCTGTCTTTTTGTGCATTTTTATAAAGCTTTTATGTTTCTCTAATTGCTTCTGATAGCTTTGTGATTTTGGATATTTGATCACGGATTAAGGAGAAGCTACCCCCGACAGATTCAAGGCTTAGACCTGACCAACGACATCTAGAGAACGGGGAATATGATAGGGCGAATGTTGAGAAGCTGCGCTTGGAGACAAGGCAACGAATGGTATGGGCATAATCTCTAATTATGTGCCATATCTAGTGTTTTATTCTTATTTTGAACGCATATCCTGTCATGAAGCTTTTTGTGGTAGTGCCACTCTTCTGGTGAGATCTTTATATTAATGACTTATGAAGTTGGCTTTCACTATTACTATTAGCTGCTCTCATTCTAATAACCTTTTTTTTAGCACCTTCTCCTTGCTTACTATTATCTTCCTATCATTGTCCCTTGATAGGTAGATATAATCTGATAATCTATGTTACTTTAACACTTTACTTTGTCTTATGTACCCATGTTGGATACTCAGTACTAGTTAATTCCTTATCTGATGCTTTAATTTACATCCAGCATCTCGATATTATTGAGCTCACATATTTATTGAGAAAAAAAATATTAAAGAGGGATAGAAAAAAGAAAACTGTCATACACACTAAAATGGGCTCTAAATATATATGTAGAAGAAATAGCAAACAAGTCAACTTAAATTATATTTTGTGTATGTATATTTAATTTGATATTTTTCATGGAAATACTAAATTAGGAATTTGTCTCATGAGTTACTAGCTATCAAACCCATGTCATTTTTAGGACTGTGTCCCTGTGCTTGATATTATAAGCCTTGACATGTCTCTCTCTCTCTCTTCATTACTTCATACCTTCATTTTATGATTTTTAATTGCCAATTTGTAAATTTGGTTTTTCAGGATTTGTGCTTTTTTGGATGATTTGGATTTGTAAGATAGTTTATCAATTTTTCTGGCAGTTATAATTTGAGTAAAGAAAATCATTGATCTGGGATTTGAAAATAATTGATTAATGTTTGCTCATTTGACAAATGAGCAACTAATCATTTGCTCATTTGACAAATGAGCAACTAATCATTTGCTCATTTGACAAATGAGCAACTAAGTTTTTGCTCATTTGCTAAATGAGCAAAAAATCGATTGCTCATTTTTCAAATGATCAAAGAAATGTTTGCTGATTTTACAAATGAGTAACTAATTATTTGCTTATTTGAAAAATGAGCAAACTAATGTTTGCTCATTTTACAAATGAGTAAAAAAATGCTTGCTGATTTAATGAATAATTAAACAAATGTTTGCTCATTTGCTGATTTATTTTTTACTAATTTGTCAAAAATGAGCAAATAATTTGTCAAAATGAGCAATTAATTTTTTGCTCATTTGTCAAATGAGCAAAAACATTCAATGCTCCTTTGTCAAATGAGCAAACTATTTAATGCTGATTTGTCAAATGAGCAAATGATTCTTGCTCATTTTGTCAAATTAATGCTCATTTGTGAGTGTGTTTGAATGTTTTAAATACGTTAGCCTATTAGCTCAAGGGTAGAGCATTGTGCAAATGCACAAAAGATGTGGATTCGAATCTCACGTAGGTTAATTTATGTAATTTGGAGACACAAGTTTGTATGAGAGTTTAATTGTAGCAAAATTTATATAGTTATAAATTATTTCAAACCATTTTTTTGCTCATATAATTTAGTACGAATTTGATTTTTATTTTTTTTAATTAATTTTGTTTATAAGATAATCTATGTAAGAGTTGAACCTACATCCCCTATGCATTTGCATACTGCTCTACCAATTGAGCTAATAGGTTTTATCATATGTTTTAAATCTTTTTCTATGTTATAAATTTTTAATCAGTTCATTTGATAAATTAACAAAGAATTGTTTGCTCATTTGATAAAATGAACAAAGAATTGTTGCTCATTTGATAAATGAGCAAAGATTTGTTTGCTCGTCTGATAAATGAGAAAAGAACTATGTGCTCATTTGATAAATGAGCAAATAATTGCTTGCTCATTTGACAAATGAACAAGATTTATTTCTAGTTGCCTGCTGTGTCTACTTGAATCCTTGATCTTCTCCAACTTCTAAAACCCATTTCTGTTTCAAAAAAAAGAATCAAACAAAGATGTTGACACAAATGTCCATTGTAAACTACATCAACACCACTGTATAAACAGCATACAGTGGTGATTCCATATAAAATGAACAGATGAAAGACAACACAAATACAGGGTTCATACATAAAACCTTTTTGTGTTAATACATGTTTAGATCAGCACAAGAATATGCACTTAGCTAGTTAATAGATTTTTAATCTTCAATGCAGCCATACCAAGTGCATAGTATAAGCAGGAACATAGTAGAAATGCTCAGGAAAGGAAGAGCTAAAAGTGTATCCAATCCAAAAATTGAATACCAGCCCATATGCAACTCAATGGAAACATATTGATTTTTAACTTGCAACACTAACCATCCCCAAGTTACAAATGACCAATATGCATTAGTTTGGTCAAGCTGAAAAAGGAAGCAAAAGCTGGTAAAGCTCAATATATCATCAAGTTTTCAGGAATCTTTGCCTTTTGAATATTGCTAGGATTTCAGCTTTGAAAAGTTAAGCAATTTTCCCAGCAACAGTAGGCAACCAAGTGCCCCATCAAAGCTGATTATAAGGTAAAGTAATAATCAAAGATGTGGAATTAATAATCCACAGCATCACACTGTAGTACTTAAAACAAGAGACATGAACTCAACTAAAGTAACAAACCTCATTAAACGTATGAATCTCAACATTTGAATCGGTATATTTTTCAATAATCTGTGTGCAATGAGTGAGTTTAAAGTCATGCAAAGATTCTCAACAAGGTAAATAACCTATCAGTATAGAATATTTATATGGGTACTTTACCTTTAGTGTATCATCATGTGTGTTGAATGAGTTCATCAGAACCAAAGGCACTTTGGATCCACACTTGCTGTTAAGGTTTTGTGTATCATTCACAAGAGGGTAAGTGTCAAGAAGAATCAAAATATACAGAAATCCGAAAGAAAATAGAATACTAGACCTCAATTTGCATGACTATAAGGTCAAGAAAGGTCACGCCATTACGGACTTCAATGGCAAACCTGTATTGCAGAGGAGGAAAAGAGTCAGTATATGAAGAACCAAGAAGCTAACCATATTCAATGGCTAAGACAGACTTTTCTACTTAATGAAACTAGTTAAAATATATATATAAACAAATCTCTCTGCCAAACTTATCCCAGTAAATAGATTACACAGCTAAATATCAGGCAATTGCAACTTGTAAGCAACAAAAACAAAGCGTCGATCAAATCACCAACGCTGAAATTAGATGAATCAAAAGACTTCTAAGAACAATTCATAATACGGCAATTTACCAATTTAAATTATTTGTAACAAAAAATAATTAAATTTCACAAAATTGGGGAATAAATGACATAAATCTTACGATAATGCACGAATAATGTCATTGATTTGTCCATCAATCTCGCCGAGTTCCTCGCTGATTGCCGACAACGACGACATTGTCGAATTTCTCAAAATGTCAACTCGTCTCTTCTCTTATCCGTTGTTTGTCGAATCAAATGACAAACAAATGCTCAATAAAATTGGAGATTATCTCGCCATTGTCAATCAAACCAAAATTCAAAGAACCATAATGACGAAATATCAAAAAATTGGAAGTAGATAATCAAACAAAAAAACGAGTTGAATAATCATACAAAAAAAATTGAACAGAAATAAGATGAAATTAAAATCGAAAGCAACAAAACAATAAAAAACGGAACAAAGATAGACCAAAAAAATCGAAATTAAATAATTTCTTGTTCATAATACGAAGTAAATCATTCAACTTGATCAATTAAATAATTTCTTCCAAAATTAAAACCGAAATTTGCAGATATATCGTCATTTGTAAAATCTGACGATTGATTGAAAATAACCAAAACAAAAAGACAAGTGAAGAAAATTGAAATGAAAGAAGAGAGAAAGAAAGTACGAGAGTTAGCTATGGAGATTTCATTGCCTTCATTAGGATCAAGCCAAACCTTACCACGACCACACTTGAGAATATCGGCGGCGAGCCGCTTCTGAAGCTTCAAAGACAATGGAGAGGAGAGATGCGTGAGATGAAAATGGAGAGGAGGAGAGAGAAAGGAGAGAAAGGAGACGAGAATGGAGAGGAGAGAGAACGTGAGAGTAGAGAGGAGGAGAGATAAGGAAGAAAGGAGGACCCGTGAGAATGGAGTGGAGGTATTTGGCAGCTTTGTATTTTAATCGTAGCTGTTGAATTTCATTATAATGTAACGGTTGGTATTGGTTCTCATATAGATGGTGGTTCTCACATAAAGGGCGGTTCTCACCGGATCCCGACCCATATATAAATGGGATCATGTAAGAACACATCCCTTATGTGAGAACCTGGTATATGTGAGGACATATTACAACCGTTGGATCAATTGCATCCAATGGCTACCATTTATCCCGGTCAAACATAATTTCAAAAAAAAAAAAAAAAAATCAGCGTTTTCTCTCTCCTCCTTCATTTTGCAAGTTATTTTCTCTCTCCTACTTCAATTTCTCAATTCTCAGGTATCTCTGCTCTCTTTCTCTCTGCTATTTGCTCTTATTCTTCTTCAAACTTCTTCAATTCTTCGCCAAGATGAGTTTCGCTTATGTTTTACTTTGTGTTTTTCGTTTATTTTAGTTTGATTTTCGTTTATTCAGTAGTTATTAAGTTGATTTTAGTTTTATTTTTGCTTTACTTTTGTTATCTTTGAATTTCGGCTTGAATCTTCACCTATTACTAGATATTTCCTGTTTTCTATTAATTTTTTCTTTGTTCTTTTGGCATTAATGCTCAAATTTTGGTATCTTACATTTATTTCGTTTTTTTGAAACCTAGAAATCGCGAATTGAAATGGATTTTACCATCGAAGCTTTGAATGATACATCAAACTCTATAGGTTGTTACCTATGAACGAAAAAGGTAAGTATCAATTAACTGATTTTTTTTATAGGGATTTTGTAATTTTTTTTTTTGCTCATTTTGTAGTTATATTTGACGATTAAATCAGTGTTCATCAATTGTGATTATTTTCTTATTTAGCTTTGCATATTTGATTTACAATTTAAGGCAAATAATTCAGTGTGAAAGGAAATATGCTACTTGGAGAATTGATAACGCTTTAGGGGGAAAGGAAATTGTATGGATATCTTTGAGGTTGAATTCGATGATTGATTTTAAAATAGATTGTTTGCTGATATGCTTCTGTTAAATCTTGCTTTTTTTTTTTTTTTTTTTTTTGTGGTTTGATACTCCATGTTTTGGACTTGAAACAAGAGGGGTATTGGTATGTGTGAAATTAACTAAGTTCTTAAAATGAAGTAGGTACTTAGGTGGTCTTGTGCTGAAATTTTTAAGTGGCTAAGGAAAATTTTCAATGGATTGTATCCATCTATATTTAACTAATCTTTGTCTCAATTGAATGTAATGATTGTTTTATCCTTTTTCAGATATATCTAAAGTGGGATAGTAATTCCCAAAGTATTCTTACTTTGACCAAGCCAAATTCAAATTTTGTTAAACTTCTATGCTCTAAGCTAGTTAGGTAAATTATGCAAACTTAGCTACTCTAAATGAATCCAATGCATGTATTTTACTTGAATCCTTCAATCAAGTTGTTTGTTCCATCAATCTGAAAAACTACTGTAGATTTTAAGCATCTGATACAAAACTTAGCATACTCGTAACCGGTTTTTTATTCTTGAAGGGTGGAATTACCAAAATATTGAATTTCAGCTTGGATTTGGACCTTATTTTATTCGCTATATCCTAGTAGGGTAGAGTTACCAGGACTTGAAATGTTAGTTTATAATAATGTTTTTCTGCTGGAGAAATTTTGCATTGCTCATAATAATTTCATTTTAGATTTATCACTATGAAGGATTGAAATATTATTGGTTTTGCATGCTTTTGATTTGGGCTGTTTTGATTTTTAAGGAAAATACTAAATTAAGATCACTCATTGCTAAAATTTTAACGAAAATCCAACATTCAAACCATGAAATTCGAAAATACTGACAAAAATTAAGAATATTATATTCGGAAAAAACTAACATAACTTTTGTTGATTATTTACTTGTATAATCTATGAAGTTTGTTGATTCTTGTTGCTGCTAAAATCTGACAAAAATCGAACGAAATTATGTTCGAAATCCTTGAATCTCATTGAAATTGAAGCTCGTAGTTTCTTTAGTCTGTTTTTCTGAGTAGCAGCAAGTATATGGATGAAAAGTTTGGATTTATTAGAGCCGTTGATCCGTTTGATCCTAAGGCTTAGATTTGTTTTCATATATTAGGAGTGTTCTCACATAAAGGGTGGTTCTCACCAGATCCTGACCCTATATATATATATATATATATATATATATAACTAATAAAAAGTCGGTCTCGCATTAAGGCCACGAGACAGAGACACTTGACATTCCAGTTTTTTGCCCAGTGTCGCGCCACGTAGGCGACAAATAGGTATTATTGTGACACATATGATGATAAGTAAGCGAAGTTTGGATAGATTTTTAAAGATAATAAAGTTGTAGTGTTTTATTATCGATATACTTCTAATATTTCATACATACAAAATTAATCATAACTTTTAAGAAATATCTTATAATTAGGTACTATTTCCATCATTAAATTCGTTTTAAGAAGTTCTTTAAAATATGATCCATTTATAATATATTTAATCACAAACTTTTATACGTAGCTGGTCAAACCGTGTCACCAACTATTACAAGAGTTATTTTGTTAATGCTATAGGGGTTACTTGGTCAGTATTATAGTGGTTACTCAATCAGTGTTATAGATAGGGGTTACTTAGTCAGTGTTAGAGGTTACTCAGTTAGTATTATGGGGGTTACTCGGTCAGTTTTATAAAGGTTACTTTGTCTGGCTAGATGGTGTGGCTAGCCGCATACAAAATGCATTGTTATTCAATTTATTTTAAAAAAAATTAAAGAATCAGTAAAATTAATTATAGTTTGGTAAAAATACTTTCCATTTAGTAAAAATAATTTAAGTTCATTAAAAATAATTTCAAGTCAATAATAACATAGATATCTATTTACAAACAAAACTACAAAAAGTATTAATATATAAATATAAGCCATATGATATCATATGTCTAAATATCCTACATTATCAGAACGAATTATTTGACCGTATTTAACATTAAAGTAAAAATATTATCTTAAAATTTTATCAACCATCTGGGCATCGCCCGGGTACAAAACTAGTCACTAATAAATAAAGTGGGTTTCACAGTCAGGCCACGAGACAGCGACACTTGGCATTCCTGTTTTTCGCCAAGTGTCACACCACGTAGGCGATAAATATGTATTAAGTTTAGATATATTTTTAAAGATAAAATATTGTATAGAGTTTTAATATCAATATATTTCTAATATTTCATATATACAAAACTAATCATAATAATATATATCTTATAACTCGGTACTACTTCAATCATAAAATTCATTTAAAAAAGTTATTTAAAATAAGATCCATTTATAATAAATTTAATTTACTTAAAAAAATAATAGATAATCAGTGAAAATAAGTTTTAATGAGAAAAAAATAATTTTAGTTTTGGTAAAAACTCTTTCAGTTTAGTAAAAATAATTTTAGTTCAATAAAATATAATTTCAATTCAGTATGTCTGCATTATCAAAAGGAATTATATGACCGTATTTAACATTTAATCCAAAAAGATTACCCTAAACTTTTATTAACCATGATGCCCGGGAAAAAAAACTAGTCACTAATATATAAAGCCGGTCTCGCAGTCAGGCCACGAGACAGCGACACTTGACATTCCAGTTTTTCGCCAAGTGTCGCTCCACGTAGGAGATAAATAAGTATTATTGTGACTCATATGATGCTAAGTAAGCGATTTTTGGATAGAATTTTTAGGATAAAATTGTTGTATATAGTTTTATTATCGATAAAATTCTAACATTTCATATATACAAAATTAATCATAACTTTTAATAAATATCCTATAACTCAATTCTATTTCCATCATCAAATTCATTTTAAAAAGTTCTTTAAAATAACATCCATTTATAATAGTATATTTGATCACAAACTTTTATACGTAGATTGCAAAACCGTGTCACCAATTATTACAAGAGTTACTTCATTAGTGCTATCGGGATTACTTGGTCAGTGTTATAGACTTATAGAGTTATAGTGGTTACTCAATTATATTAGTGTTATAGATAGGGGTTACTTAGTCAGTCGTACAGGTTACTCAGTTAGTAATACAGGGGTTACTCGGTCAGTTTTATAGGGGTTCCTTTATCCGGCCAGATGGTGTGGCTAGCCGCATACAAAATGCATCATTATTTAATTTATTTTAAAAAATGTTAGAGAATCGGTAAAAATAAGTTTTAATTAGTAAAAATAATTTTAGTTTGGCAAAAATACTTTCAGTTCAGTGAAAATAATTTTAAGTTAATAATAATATAGATATTTATTTACAAACAAAGAATTATTAGACCGTATTTAACATTCAACTAAATATGTTATCTTAAAATTCTATCAACCATCTGGGCATCGTCCGAGCACAAAACTAGTATATATATATACATAAATCTTAGGGTACTTAATGCATGGACTTATAAAAACTTATCTGAATTTATCTTAACTTATGTTATCTTATCTGAGCTTATTAGAGCTTACTTTAGTTATAAATTGAACTTGAGTAGCCCTGATTAACCCTTACCACAACTTATCTGAACTTATCTTATCTAAACTTATTAACCATTATCTAAACTTATTTTTCTTGAAATAAGTGGAAATAAGGTGAACTGAACAAGGCCTTATTAGACATTATTAAACTTATTAAACCTTATTGAACTTGTTAGACCTTATTGAACTTATTAGACTTGATTAAACCTTATTAGAACTTATTGGTATTGGACCTTATTAGACCTTATTATTAGACTTGATTATAACTTATTGTAACTTATTAGACCTTATTTAACTTATTGGAACTTATTATACCTTATTTAACTTATTAGAACTTATTAGACCTTATTAAACTTATAAGACCTTATTAAACTTAAGGGCTTGTTCTGTTCACCTTATTTTCACTTATTTCAGGTCTAATAAGTTTATAAAAGATACGTTTAGTTGAGGAAGAATAAGTTTAGATAAGTTCAGTTCAGAAAAAACAAGTTCTGATAAGGGATACCCAAGTTCAAATTACAAATAAAATAAGTTCAGATAAGTTCAGTCAAATTCAGATAAATTCAATTAAGTTCATATAAGTTCAGACTAGTGAAAATCAAGTGAATATAACACATATTAGACCTTATTTTAACTTATCTGAACTTATTAGACCTGAAACTTATTTTGATAAGGTGAAGAGAACAAGCCCTTACTTGATTTTTTTTTTTTTTTGAGGAATGTAAATTCCAATTTTAGTTGAGTATTAATTATCAAATAATGCATAGTTATAAAATATATACCCATTTATTATCAACTATTCACATTATATTCCATGTTTTAACTTATTAAATATATGAAAAATGAAGAAAATATCGTAAATTTCATTTGATCAAAAAAACTTTTTACAGTATTTTTACACTGTTTTTTAATTGTTATTTAATTGATATAAATTATTACATCAAGTGTATAAATTATTCATCATTGTTCTTTTCCCCTTATTCAAATACTTTTCAATATAAATAAGTTCAGTTCGGGCAATTTAATTTTTAATCAGCAAATTTTAGTATTTGTAATAAACAAATATAATAGAAAATTAGCAAAAAAAATTTAAATAATTAGTAAAAAAAAATTAAATTTCAACTAAAATATTTGAATTTCTGCAAAATTAATTTTAGTTCATTAAAAATAATTTTATTGCAACAAAAATAAGGTGAAGGTAATAAAGCCTTAGTAAAATGACATTAACTTTTTTTTTTTTTAATTACTTCAAATATTAAGCTAAATTAACAAGCCTACTATTGCAATTAGCTCGAAATGAAGGAAATAACTTTACTTTGCTCAACTCTATATTCCTTCCTGTTTATCAAAATAAATGCCCTATTTTGACTTTTTGCACTAGTTACATAATTTATTTTGACTATTGTCTATGATTTATCATAATAAGAAAACATATAGTTATGTAGTTACATGTTGGAATCGTCTTAAACTCT